TCGGGAAGGACGGTGGTTTGGTGTGGGAGCTGCTCTGGAGTCTCGGGAAGGACGGTGGTTTGGTGTGGGAGCTAATCTGGAGTTTCAGGAAGGATGGTAGTTTGGTGTGGGAGCTGATAGCACTGTAACTAGTAGCCTCTGGTGCTGTAACTTAATAAAAGCAAAAATTCATTAAATGCTTATTTTATGACAGGCATTGTGCCAGTTGTTGTACGTGCATCATTTAATACTTACCAATGTCTATAGACCCGTCATTAGCCGTATTTTATAGATGAAGAACCTGTGATTTAGCAAAGTTGTCACATAGACGTGCAGCAGGATGTGAACCCAGGTCTGCCTGGAACTCAATTGTGTGCATGCAGCCATCATTCTATATGCTCTTCCAGTAATTAGCACAATAAAAGAATTGACTCTAATTATACTCTTTTTGAATAAAGAAAACAGAATGTTTGGCTTTTTTTTAAAGACTGGAAAGTATAAAATTATTTAAATTTTTAAAAATTTTAAGTAGTTCAAATTGCAGTTTTTCCACTAAAAGATGTTAAGATATTGTTTATAAAACATTTTACTTTCTACAAAGATAAATGTACATTGTAAATTTGTTAACTCTATGTAGATTTTTGAATAAGAAACTGTGAGTTGATTTTATTATATTACCTTGTCTGCTAAAGGAAGTGAGTCTCCCCAGCTGACCCATATTAAGTGCTAAATTAATGTGTTTGTTTATACTCCATGCTATTCCAAAGGGCATCAGGACAGTTACAAGCCTTTATGTTTATTCATAACTGCAGTAGTTAGGGACAGCTCTGCTCCCTGTGCTCACTGCCAGCTCAGCGGTAGTCTCTGCGTGCGAATGTGCAGATGAGCAGCTCTGAGAGCAGAGGTGTTGTGTGTGTTCGTCACCGGATCTCCAGTGCTTTTAGCACTGCTTGGAAATAAAGGTGTTGAAAAAGCATTAGTTGGCTACTTTCAAAAACATTGAATTATAATTGCAAACAGTCCATTGAATTTATCCTTGACGTAAATTTTATCTTTGACTCTTGATTTTATAAACTTTTGTAATGATTATCACCATCATTTTGAAACTCAGTTTTAAATTTTATTTTTTTATGATCTGACATGTTGGGCAAATACCCTCCCAATGACATACCTAATAGGGCTCTGTCTTTTACTAAATCTGTTCTTCTTATTTTACTTGCCATTTTGTGCCAACAAGGAAAAGGTCACTTGAGATTGCCAGTCTCTGACTTTTTCTTTCCCACTTGGAATTGTTTACCAAAATTTCTGTGATGTAGTGATTTTTTAAAATCCCAGGAATTAAGAGTCAGCTTTGCCACTTGCAGGCTCTACAGCTGTGGCAAGTTGCACAGCCTGCTCCTCTTCTGTCATATTGGGGCAGTAATGCTACCTGCCTCGTGGGATTGCTGTGGCGAGTAAATGAGTTTGGATAATATCTGTAAATCACTTAGAATAGTGCTTGGCACATAAGGGCTCAATAAATGCTAATTATTATTTTTAGGGTTTTTATGAGGCTTAAATTAAATGGGATTATGCATGTAAAATGTTCTGTAGAGTATCTGGCATTTATTAAGGGCTCAATAAATGCTAGTGGCTCTAATTTAAATATTCCGGTGCCTATATGTCTAAAGAGGCTGTGCCTTGGGATCTCTGCACACGTCATATTTTTACTGAATTTATTTTACGGCATGGAAGAAAACATAAGTTTCTATACTGACTTTTCCCAATAGATACAAATTACAATGTTAAAAAAATTTAAATATATACATACTATATTTATTTTATGATTTCTAAGTTTAGATCATTTGTTACTTTTTGTTTATTTTTACTATTTAAAAGTATAGATCTTGATTAATATCACAATTTCAGTATCTAACCTGTTTTTCTTCTTTTCTTGTTACTCTTTTTATAGGTTTGTGGAATCTTGCTTCCCTTTTTTCCAACCTTTGTTTATTTGTATTGATGCCCTTTGCCTTTTTCTTTCTGGAATCAGAAGGCTTTGCTGGCCTGAAAAAGGTAAGTGAATCTAGTATTGGAATTAAATTGGTTAAGTGAGGAATTAAATATCATTCGTGTTGAACTAGAAAAAGCAGATTTAAGTTATTTAAATGGAATATACAAAATTAAATGAATAATAATATTAACAACATGTTGTTAACAGTAACAGTGATTCTGCATAATGAATTATTGTGCATGTCCACGAGAGAGACATCTTTTAGACCTGGGAGTACTTTTACGGTCTGCATACATTTAGTGTAATGGATAAACCTGATACAATAGCTTTTATTCTTTCCTTAGGGTATCTTATTTAGGTGACAGTAAAGTGTTATTTCCATGGGCTCCCCTTTCTGTTGTCTATCTGTTATTCCATACGTTAACAGTCTGCAGCTGAAAACTGACAGCTGATTTCACATTTAGTAAGTGTACAAGGATCAGAGGGAACGACTCTGGCAGTCAAACCTGACATTAAGAAAACTGGCTTTAATATACTGGAATTTAAAAAATCATGATGTATTCTTAAGACTGGCAATTAAAATTTAGTCAGTGTCTGGGTGCAGTGGCTCACACCTATAATCCCAGCACTTTGGGAGGCTGAGGCAGGAGGGTCGCTTGAGGCCAGTACTTCGAGACCAGTTTGGGCAACATAGTGTGACCCTGTCTGTACTAAAAATAAAAAAATTAACTGGGTGTGGTGATGGGTACCTGTGGTCCCAGCTCCTCGGGAGGCTAAGGTGGGAGGATTGCTTGAGCCTGCAGGTTGAAGCTGTGGTGTGAGCTGTGATCACGTCACTGCACTCCAGCCTGTCTCAGAAACAAACAGAAACCAAGAATGAACAACAAGAAGAAAGGAGGTCATCGTAGACTCTTGAGAAGGCAATTTCTGTAGAATTTTGGAACCATAACTTTTGATGGATATTCATTCATTCAACAGAGAACGAATTTCATCGAGAATTCAGAGTTTTATTAACCAGTTCCTTAAGTAGCAGTTATTATGCTATTTATAGGAGCTTGCTGGGGACACAGATGAAAAGATGAGGCTCCCGCCTTCAAGGGTCGGACAGTGGGAGAAATGACAGATGCAAACAAATAAGATGCAGTTTGAAGCCCTTTTATATAATGAAGTCCTATGGGAAACCCTGAAAGGAACGGATATCTTGATTTTCCTGGGGAATTGACCAGGCTTCACAGGGGAAGTCAACCTGGACTTGAGCTGGTACTTGAAGGATGAGCAGAGGTTTACTAGAGTGTGGCATTCCAGGCTTGAGCAAAGGCCCAGAGCTCTGACAGAATGGAGGGAATGACCGGTACTTAGATACTGGAGAATGGTGAGAGATGAGGGTGCACAAGCCGCTTGCCAGGGTTGAATTCTGGAGGCCTGGAGTCCTCTGTCTGGTCATTTGAGTTTTATGATGTAGGCAACAGAGAAGCCAGAATAGGATTTTTGAAAATTTTTTCACCTACCATTTGAGTATATTTAGAGATAAATATGCATTTTAGACTTTGTGCACATCACAAAGGAAAGGAATACAAAGGAGTACGTGCCCCACATGGTGCAGAACACTGTTCTGTAGATCACGGCGCCAAATCAGCCCTGCACCTGACTCTGTGACGTCGCCTGCCGATGTTTGCTTTCCATAAGCCAAGTTCTTCCCTCTTCCTGACACCACCTCTTGTGTAATAGTCCCACATACAAAAAGCAAATGATAAAGCTCGGTGTGAACTATGTTTTCATATTTGACATTATAAGCAGTATCTATCTACCTAATTTATACTTTTATAAAAATCTAGTTGAGTAGATTGTTATTTACGATAACAGGGTATAATATGGACAAACTCTTTGCCTCCAAGTTATTTTCTTCCCTTCTTGTGAATTAACCAACTAGGAAAGGGACTTGGCTAAATCTGTTTGAAGAATTAGCAACAATCTCCAGAATTAAAAAAGAAAAAATGACAAAAAATTCCAGTGACATGTCACTTTTCTCCTGTTCCCCCTTATAGACTTAAGGTCAAAGGGAGAATCAGCGAGGAGGGATCCTAGAAGATAATTAGAGATATTTCACACCTACGATTGTACAGCACTTATTTCCTTTATTTAAAAAAAAAATTTAGTCTTTTTATACATGATTAATACTCTTTTCTTAGCACATCTTTGACCATGTTAGTTGCCTAAAAATCACTTGAGAGTCACCAGCTGTGTTTCATGACCTCAAATGGGACTGAAATATTGAATGACTGTAGGATACAGGCAACTACGAATCCAATTAATTCCCAAACACAGCAGAAGACTTAGAAAGAGAGCAATGAGGTGGAGCACTGGATAACTGCCATTCGTCCGACTTGGGAAGTTGTAATAGGTGCTGCAGAAAACCAAATTAAAGAATTTGGTGGTTAATGCCATTAAAGGAAGGAGGGAGATGGAATTGTTGCTTGAAGGTAGGGGAGGAAGAATCATTTTAAAGTTGGAGAGTCTGACTGTATTGAGGAAGAGAGACCAGTGGAAGATGGTGAAGCTACAACCCTGAGAAAATTTGGCATCAGTCAGACTGCCTGGGCAGGTGATGTCATCTAAACCACAGGGTTGCTTTCTGTAAAAACAGGTGTAATAATGGTATTTACTTTATTGTCTTATTTTGGTGATTAAATGAGATGTGATTATTTATGTAATGCACATAGCCCAGGACTTCACTTAGTAAATGTTAGCTATTATTAAATTACCTTTATCTTCGAGGTAGTCTTTAAATGCATTTGACTAATAAGTATTCTGTAAAATATCACTAATCACTAATAAGTATGCTAGAATACTTATTATCACTAAGTATTCCATAAAATATGGGCCTCAGAAAGCAAGCAACTGAATATAGTACAGTCATCTTTTATTACTCACAGATTATTATCTCAGGTAGTTTTAAAATATGTTTCCTGTTTTGAAATGGCATGTACTAAAGCAGAATAACAGCTTGAGCATTACAGCTAGCATACTTTGAAACAAAGTTGTTTGAAGATAAGATGTGTTCTAGATCCTAGTAGAAACGTTTAGAAAGTTTTAAAATTAAGCTAATCAAGGCATGTCATTTTAAAATATTCATATTTTTCAGTTTTAAAATCAATCACATGAAAGTTGGAAAGGTTATTAATATTGTGTCGTTAAGTCTAAATGTGTTAAGTATACATTTGAGCCCGTTCATGTTGTATATTTCTGTAGTCTAGAATCATTTGTTAATTACCTGTGTAAGTTCTAAATAACATTTTTTAAGATATATGGTTCTTTACACAGTACTTACTAGAATTAACTTTGCTGCTTTATTGAAATTAATATGATTGATCACAGTCATTCAAATGTTTAACATATTTGGCTAATAAGTATGTATATTTATGTATATTCCTTTAAAACTCCTTGCTCATCAATTACATTTGACGCATGTAGTTTCTGAAGTGATCCTGAAGAGAGGCTAGAAACCTTTGTAATTGGTAGATTCAGCACACTAATTTGAGCAATGACAAACTTGTAATATGGTTAAGTAAAATTTCCTTTTTTTTCCTTTTTTTCCTGTGGCCACCCTCCTGGTGCTGTTTTACTGTGTCTAAGTCTGGTGTATCCCTAAATGGCATATGGCCCCACTCTACTCCCGTGGATTCCCCTGGGCAGTCGATGTTCAAACAGCTTCTTGCATATTGTGCCGAGATGCGGAAATTGGCCACTGGCCATGGGCGGATGCAGAGCTTGAATTGAAAATCAAATTAAGCCGAATTCTCTGCTTAGTTTTTAATTAAACCACTATGTTAATTCAAACAGGACATATTAGGCCTGGGGGGTTGACTATGTCCTTTTAAGGGCCTTAAATAGCTTTGCTTCTCTCTTCTGACGGTGGTGGCGGTGTGTGTTTCTATTTTATTAGGACCATCTCCTTGCTATTCCCTTACTTTCTAATTCTCAAGTGTAAAAGGGTAGAAATGGTTTTGATAAAGTAAAACTTTTTTTTAGTACGCAGCTAACTTTTATCTTGGAATTTAGATTTATTGTTAGCAGTTAAATGTTTACCCAATGTAGATTATTTGGCTGTCACCTATGTGTATTGTATTGAGCTTTAGGTATGTTCATAGGTATTTGAAAGTGACTCTGTTCACATCTTAATTTTCCAACTCTGATGAAAAGGTTCCGTTTGGTGATTTTTGTTTTGTTTTGTAGTAAACCTACTTTTTCTGCAGTATGTGGATCTTGGGGCTCAGGGAACATCTTAGGGCAGACATTACTGCTGTACTTACCATACCTCAGTTGGACTGTATGATTTGTCTCCCTCCCCCGCTCCAGAAAAGACCTCCAGGTTGTCTGTATTAATATCAGAGATATTTTCTGATTTTGTAATGAACTCTTGGAGGTATAACCTCTGGCCAGTGTTTAAATGGTAGTTAGGAACATATTTGTTTCACATTATATCTTAGCATCTTATTTTGAATTAAAATGTTAGGAGGAAAAAAAATTCAATGACTCAATGAAAGTGGGAGAAAATATCTCCATATGATTGTTACGTCAATTTTATGACAGATTAATTCATAAACCCAAGATTTTCCTAGGAGTAAATTTCTGTCGTACTTCACTTTAATGCCTATCTTTGATTTGAAGTCATAGCATAAAATGTAACATAAGCAACATCCTGACCAATTATCCAAACCATCCAGACATCCCCGAATGGCCAGAGCATAGCACACGGTCTGTAGGATTAAGAGGTTAACTCCTGTAACTTCAAACAAAGTGCTTGATAATAAAAGCAAAAAGTACAAAATTTTAGGTAACTTCCTTTCTTAATTAATTGGACTGACCAGGTGGAAGCGAAGAGTTCTGTGCTGGTGCTTGGAATGTCTATAAAGCTGAGCAACATGACAGCACAATAGAGGAGGAACAAAGATTTTTTTAATATGTTTCTATCCTGTGTCACAGTTTGAAATTGTCCTGGTTTATGTCCCTTTTGGCAAACTTACATAAAAGTGACCTTGTACTGTATTTTATGACCAGATGA